GGGCGCACTCTAAAGGCCAAAACACTGTCATTTACGGCGTTGTTTGAAGCCTTTTGCGTGCAAAAACGACTTATTGCAACATGTTGAAAACTGTGTAAATACCAGCGTTTTTGCTAGGTACTCCCCACCAAACACTGTAAATAATATGGTTTTTGCTCCCACCGTCAAAACACATCATAAATACTGCGTTTTGGGCGCCAAAAATATCGGTATGCACGGTGTTTTTTTACTCCGAACATCTGGAAAAACGTGAATACACCACCTATTTGACGATGTTTGTCCTCTAAACTCATGAGCAAAAAAATGTGTAGTCAGATGGTTGCAAGATGCACAGAAGCAGCACCACCAATCACATTACCACCATAAGAACAACAAGAGCAGCAACAACAGCAACAACAGCAACAACAGCAACAACCAACAACAACAAACAACAAACAACAAACAACAAACAACAACCACCCACCACCCACCACCACCACCACCAACAACAACAACAACAGCAGCAGCAGCAACAGCAGCAGCAACAGCAACAGCAACAGCAACAACAACAACAACAACAGAGCAAGCGGGCGACATTCTAGGCAACACCAACAACCCTTGGGGCATCGGCGGTGTGCGAAGCCCTACAATTCTCTTCTGCATGCGAAACCCTTCCTTGAGTCAAAAGCTGAAAAGCAGTTCAAGTCTTGCCGAGGGGCCTTCGCGGTCGTGAATACCCTGTTTTGCAAACAGGTTGAAAGCACAGAAGGAGCGACCATGGAAACTGCTGATGCCAAGCTGCTAATCTCTACAGATCTTGCACAGTGCTCCACCATCACACGCACAAGAGACGAAGGAGACAAAACTTGACTAGTCAAAGCAGCTCTGCTGAGCGCAGCGGTGAAGCAGAAGTCACACTTGCAGCTTTATTCATCTCAACTCTATAGCCGGCTGGCAAGTGTCATGAGCTTCATGCTTGTGCTTCGGATCTTTGCCCAAATAAATGGTTGGGAGGTGCAAGCGAAGCAACAATTACACACCTTGATCTTGAAACAAAATGGATTGGTTCCAGTTGTTTTCTGTTTAGACCTTGTTCAACCAGGACAGCACCACATCCAACAGACCTAGCGGAGCTGGAAGTCAGAGTCGCGCGAACAGATGGGCGGCATCTGCTTCCAACCCAAAAAAAAACGCAACGATGCTGCGCTTCCTTCATCTGCACAATCTTGGCGAAGCAACTTGGGTCTCAAAGAAGCTCAAGCAACTCTTGAAAAACAATGTTAGTATCACTGAAACCGTCAAAGCATGTCAAGTCAACATGCTGCAGATTTCAGCTGCGTGCCACAGTAAGGCAGAACCTGCATGGCACTCAATGACATCTCAGTTCAGTATATCTCAATGACATATGTTTCTGGATTCTGGGTCCAGAAGATTGGCCGATAGCGTTCGGAATTTGCAAACGCGTATTGCTTTAGGCTAGAGGTCGTGTGAGTTTGCTTCAAATCCTGCTGTTTTTTCTCGTGCTTTGGAATCAGCTCAGGTCCTTCCAAGTACAAAATATGCAACACATGGCCTTCCTGGTGTTTTGCAGATTCGGACAATCTTTTGAAGGGCCAAGGATTCGGATCTGCGTGCTTAAAACATAGCGATATGGTGGAACAGACGTCGGGTCAACATGTCGTCGGTGGGGGGAAATGCCTGTGTGCAGCCTGTCCTTGAGATAAAGACTTTATGTGGCTGGAAAATCTCAGTGGCCTCTCAAGCTGTGTACTGGTAACATCGTCGGCTCGACCTATGATTATTGCGGCCCTTGTGGAAGTTCGACCTGACCTCAAAATTAGGTGTTTTTACCGTTGTTTCGAATGTGTTGGAAGGTCTGGCTGTTTGGTCTATATTGTCGCAGTGGCACGCATGGGCTTTCAGAATCTCCGATATGAGCCTCAAACAGTATCCATGAGCTGAGTTGCACACTGTCCTGTAACAATTGAAAGAGTCTGTGGGGAAGGCATAGGTGGCGAAATATCTCGAAAATTCTCAACATTAAAATTTAAAACTTTTAAAACATGTATATATACTGCTACTATCTCATACTCCACTGTTGGAGAACCGTATCGGCTCTGAGAATGGAAGTCAAAAGATGTGCGTCCTGGGGGAGGTTAACGTGACGAAATTCTCACATCCACCAAGCACAAGTGTGACATATGTTTGACACATGTTTTTAGCCAACGCTCTGATTCGGAATTCTTGAAATGCTCACCCCAAAAGAGTTTTTTGTATGGAAGCGTGTCAATCCAGTGGTCCGCATTTCAAGTCATGACATCGTCTCATGTGCAATAAAGTTGGTATCTACACAGCTTCGCTCCAAGAAGGCAGACATTCAAAAAATGAAAAATGCGCCGCGCACACTTCACACATCAAGTCTTCCCGGCAGGCCGGCTTTCACTCGAGCCACCCTGATGCTCCTCTGACAAACTTGCTGTGGAGGCACTGCCAGCATTCCTTGCAAATTAAAAAAAACTGCTAAGAGCTATTTCTATCCATTTTTGCTGAATAATAGAACAGGTATGGATATGAACAAGAGTTGCAGAGGTTTGCAAGCCTATAACATGCTTTGCCTGGGCTTACTCTTTTCCCGGAAACACAACTGATGCTGCATCACTGAAATTACACTAGTGCCAAATGATTTGGTTAATTTAGCACTGTCCTTGTCACACAATGAGTCACAAAAGCGTCCATGTGTGTGTGTGCGTGTGAGTGACGCATGACGCACACTGGGCCAGTGAAGGCTCTGCGTGTGTGAGTGACCGCACACTGGCCAGTGGCATCCCGATTTTCATGGATTGGGTTGCCAGGGCAGTCGAATCCACACCCCAACTCCCTGGGGTGCTCCCCACTGAGGGGCAGAAGTCAGAAGCATGAGACGAATTACGCTTTCGAATGAAGAAAGCGAGCTTCATTGGATACTTGCATAGTCCAACCGTTGGCTCTGTGGCACCAGTTTCCGAACATTTGGGGCTCCACAAAAAAAACAAAGCCCCCTCACAAACACAATCATACTCAAAAACGAAATGTCAAGATTCTTGGCGGGAAGCACGGCCACAGCCAACTCCAGTTCATATGGGCGTGAAATAACACAGCCCAACCCTTATCAAAGCATATCAAGTTGCAGAGCTTTTTGATTTGTGGCTTGCATGATAATTCTTTTTGATCCCAAAAAATTTGCTCCATTGGCAGCTTCTACACAGATTGGATATGCAATGCCACATCAACCTTTGAATGAGATCAATCGACATAAATATATAATATTATCGAAGGAAGTTTTAGAAGTCAAACTTCCGACAATATGGACAGATGAAAAGCAGAGACGGGAAGAGTCAGAGAGAAGAGAAGAGTAGAAGAGAGAAGATCAGAGAAGAGAAAGAGTCAGAAGAAAGAAGATCCAGTCGCAAAACACTGTGTTTTTCCAATGATTTGTGGCTCCGGAGGGTCCAAAAGTAGGCTCGCTAAAGCGGCGGGTGCGGAGCCAGCTGGCCAGATGAGTGATAAAAAATTGCACGCCGCTGTGGCGCGAAGCACATTTCCAAGTCAAAATGTACAAAACACCGCAGCTTCGGAGCACTTTTAGGAGTTGGGCTGTCGAAAAAGTGCACGCCGTTGTGGCGCGAAGCACATTTCGAAGTCAAAATGTACAAAGCACACCAGCTTCGGACCACTTTTAGAAGTTGCGATGTCGAAAAAGCGCACGCCGTTGTGGCGCGAAGCACATTTCGAAGTCAAAATGTACAACACACCTCAGCGCCGGACCACTTTTGGAAGTTGAAATGTCGAAAAAGCGCACGCCGTTGTAGGGCGAAGCATATTTCGAAGTCAAAATGTACAAAACACCACATGTTCGCGCCACTTTTGGAGGTTCAGATGTGCTTTCGCGTGGCAGGCGCAAGGAATTGTGGACCTTGCCAAAAGTGAGCAAAACGTGAAGGTTTTGTAGCATGTCCGAAAACGTGGCAGGGGTGGGACATTTGTCGAAGAGGATCTGCAAAGATGCATTTTCCGTGGCAGGCGCAGTACAAGAGACATGCTCATCAGAGCTGTTAGGAGGTCCGGGCGCTGATTTCCTGAGAGGGGTTGCATTTTGGAGCCTCTGATCTTCAGGTTTGCTGAGATGATTTTGCGTGACAGGTGCAGCACTTCGTATGACCTGGCATCACTTTTTCGTGGCAGGCGCAGTAGTTTGGACAGATGGACTGGAAAAATCGCAAAACGCAGTGGTACGAGGCCGTCAGCTCTGCACTCAACTTTCCATTTTTGAAGGACGTCTCGCAGAATTGCTTCGTTTTTGATTTTGTCAACTTAGAAAAAATAGGAAGTCTCGCAGAATTGCTTCGTTTTTGATGTTGTCAACTTAAAAAATGAGGAAGTCTCGCAGAAGTGCTTCGCTTTTGACGTTGTCAAGTTCAAAAATTGAGGAAGTCTCGCTGAATTCCTGCGCTTTTGATGTTGTCAGTTCAAAAACTGAGGAAGTCTCGCAGAATAGCTTCGTTTTCAAGCTTGCAGATAGACAGACAGATAGACAGACAGACAGACAGACAGAGAGAGAGAGATAGATAGATAGATCGATTGATCGATGGATGGATGGATGGATAGATAGATGGATAGATAGATGGATGGATAGATAGATAGATAGGTAGCTAGATAGATAGATAGGTAGATAGATAGAGAGACAGACAGACAGACAGACAGACGGACAGACAGACAGACAGACAGAGAGAGAGAGAGAGAGATAGATGGATGCATAGGTGGATAGGTGGATAGGTGGGTAGATAGGTAGTCAGAGAAAGAGACAGAAAGAGAAAGAGAGAGAGAAAGAGAAGAGACCTCAACCACCTGTCGGTCCATCAGTGGCTTCGCTCTGCCATCCGTGATTCACAACAACCAACCTCTCCTATAGGTTTCCTATTTTTGAAACTTCCGCCACCGCCTTGTGCAGTATTACTGGTATGTATATATATATAATTCGAGAAGGCATGAAAGCTCTGCAAGCTGACTAAACTCGAGCATAAGTCTGCTGAGTTCGCTGTTCTAACTGAGGCTGAAGCAATAGCATCAAGTCATGAAGCCCCGCTTGAAGAACTCTGCGTAATTTGCCAAGACCCCCCAGGAGGCCAAGCAGTCCTGTTGAGAGCTGGCCTTTGCCTTTGGAAATTTTGGAACAGATTGGGGGACACCTCAGCTCTGCCACCTACGCAACACAGGCATTGCTTCGGCTTCAAATCCAGACTCAGAGACAGAGTATCTCTTAGAACTCCCTTGCTTCCGGCCCCATGGGCTCCTTAGAACAACGAAAAAAATCCAAAGCCTGCGCAAAGCAGTCTGCACATGTCCACACAGGTCTCCGTGCGTCAGTAAATGAAGCAATGTGGAGTGTCAAGTGAGTCAACTGAGTCAAGTGTTCAGATCTGCTGCTGCGCTCAGGGAATCTAAGAAGTGGACTGCCTTCTGCCGGCCAAGTGCTCGAAGTACGGACGCAGCATACTTTGTCGTCACAGGACCTTTGGCCGTCAGGTTCCGGTATCAGCCCCCTCTAAGTTCTCAGCTAAAGGCGCTAAATGCGCTGGCAAGCTGCGGCAAAGTTAACATGAGTTTACCATATGCAAACAATCTGTGACTTTATATCTCGTCTATTGCGCTCTCTCAGTCAACAGCTCGCTCGGGATAGCTCGTGTCTGCTCATGAGCCTTCCCTGACAGCGAAAAAATATCAATAAAATGCGGAGTCTTGTGCCGATATCTTACTGGCACAGATCAATTCATGCGTAAGTTCATGTCTTGTAGGTGGGACTGTAAAAACTCCGGAGCAAGTGCTCTGCGCCTCTGGATCGGCTGATGCCTTGCGTACTATGTGATGCAAAGTGGGAAGTTGAGTTCGTGCGAGACAACGTGAAGCAATCGAGCTCGGCATCGTTCAACTTCTAGGTTAAAATTGCTGCATCTGCAGAGGTGTACCTTGGTGACTATTGAAAACGGAATTGATAATGGTTGCAAGAATGGATGAACCTGTGACCAGGAAAACAAGAGCCTTCTAGAGAACCTGACCACTCATGCTCCGGACAAGGCCGACCGAGATTTGAATATAGATCAAACATAGACGGATACAGTAGAGTATAGAGATCAGCGCTTTGTCGACTTAGAGAACAGGCAAGAGGAAAATCAACGCCAGTATAGCGTAAACCAAACGCACCTGCGAAGGACTGCATCACAAGACGCCATCGTGACTCAAAAGACCGCCCGGCGCATCTCCACACAAATCCACAAAGCAATGAAGCCACGAAGTTTATATAATCGAACTCGCTCGATCTTTGAAATTGTCTTGAAACACCAACTACCCAGTAGGCATATGAATCCTCGTTGTTGCAACTGTCTATCACACTGTGGCTGCGACCGGAGTGTTTCGAAATACCTGTCTCATCTCATCCAAGAAACATCAATCCAAATCTTGAAATACTGAAACCAGAAAAATGTTGGATGTTGTCGTATGCTGTCATGCTTTTATCACGTTGCCTGGTTGGCAAGTTCTTTGCACTCTTGTCGGACCTAAGTTGAAAGTAGGAAAGGTAAAATCTGCACAGGACTTTTACAAAGATTTTACGAAGATTTTACAAAGAGCATAACTAGCATCACGAGGAGAGCACCAGCTTTGGTGGTCGCTCTTTCTTTGGCCTGGCCTTGGCAATGACCAAGCGAAGGCAGCAGCAGCTGGATGACGCATGATGACGCATGATGCAAGATGTCGGTCCCACTTGCCTTGGTTTGTCTGAGGTCCGGGCATGGTTGAGGTGGCAGTACATGCAAGACCTTCCCCATCAAAAACAGAAGCGACGAACATCCACAACTGCTGGGCTCTAGACCCTAGAATTCTACAGTCACTGAATAGCCTTGGCAAACCATGGCAAACCAATATCTCATGTCAACAATGCCAGCTGTTGGCATAGCCTGCCAAACTTGCAACCATTTCTGCTGAACACGTAGAAGCAAGGCTTGCCTCACAAACAAATGTGTGGTTGCCACCCAACAGGCGCAGCTTAGAAATCCAATGTCATTACTTGCAATCACTGCAGTTTGACTGTCAGCTGGTTCAGACTTGGGGTTGTGCACTGTCCTTGACTGTGGCCCGAAGACCCAAGTGTGGGTACGTCATCTGGCAAGTCCTTCGCAGTGGGAAACATGACGACTCAAGTTTCAGGAGCAGCTACAAAGGCCGGCAAGACGGGGGAGTGCACAAAGTGCACTATCAAAGTCAGGCCTCAACCTTTTGCAAATGTGAGCTTGAGGAAGCACCTGCTCTCTTGGCTGTTGATCAAATTATCACAATTCTGGCAAATCCACTGTGAAACGCCTATTTTCACAGCAGAGCTACTATGGTTCCTCAAAGAGACCGTCATCGGAACTGTTCAGTGGATAAGGTACTATTCCGTGAGGCAAGCTACATGCTATGATGCTCGTGGTCACATGAAAAAATGATAGGACAGAGCAAACAGGTTTGGGATCTTTGAAGTTAAAAAGCTGATGTTACAACAGGCACGCAAGGGGGTCCAGTTCCAACCTTGCTGCCCAATCCCTCTGTCGACCAAACTGTTTCAGTGAAGTTAAGGACACATTTGGAGTTGTCAGCGACCGCAATGGTCTCCAAGAGTCTCGGAAATTTCAGGTTCAAAACCCCATGGATGCCCTGTGTATGACCCGGCACCAGGGCCACACGAGGGGTTCACTACAGTAATCCCCCCACAACCAGACATGGAGGTTCATCATGTTCGTCGTCTTTCCCGGCCGGGCACACCAGGGTGTCATTCACTTGAACATTTTGAACCAAGTAGCATCAAGGCAATCTGTTCCTGCATGAGGGCATGTTTGGTTTCTCACACACATAAACCCGGACACCAAAAAACCTTTCCAACATACTGTGTTCCGATTGGAATGTTCATCGTTAGCATATACCCGAGACCAAACGAATTGAGACAGTCTTAAAACCAGAAACTATAGTGATGCAGCGTATGTGGAGAAAAGTTGGCACAACCAAAAGAAATCAGATAATTCCGCCCAACAAAATAAAGCCGATACTAAGATAGAATGATATAAACATATCATACATGTATCTGTATATAGATACCATCATGCGTTTTGGCACAAGAGGAGTGAAAGTCCAATATGAAGCAGCCTCATGCAATGTAGTACCACACATTGCCAAACGGTGTTTTCGTGGCATTTCACAAGGAAACAAGAAAATGCAGTGTAGCAATCCAAACCTTGCACAATGCAGTGACAATGCAATTTACAAAACACATCAAAGGAAAAAAAAAAAAACAAGTGGCATCGGCAACGGCAGCATTTGAAAGAAACTTACAATGTGTTCTGCACTGTGTGTTTCAGGCAATGCAAAATAGTGAAATTTCCTCCCCTCCGTTTTGGAACCCTGCTTCAACTCGTAGTTAATTGGAACACTGATGTAGATTCTATAAAACAGATACGAGGAAGAGATCTACATATGCAGACATGCACATATACATTACAGTACATTGCATTGCATTACAACACGATAAGCTACAATACCAAAAAAAACACGACACAATACAACACACGACAATACAACACAACACAGCACATTACAATACAACACAGCACATTAATATACAATACAATACCATACAATACAATACAATACAACACAATACAACACAATACAACACAATACAACACAATACAACACAATACAACACAAAACAACACAATACAACACAATACAACACAACACGGTACAATACCATACCATGCAAGGCAATACAAGGCAATACACTACAACACAATACAACACGATACACCAATACAACACAATACAACACAATACAACACAATACAACGCAATACAACACAATACAACACAACACGGTACAATACCATACCATGCAAGGCCATACAAGGCAATACCATACAACACAATACCACCGATACACCACAATACAAGACAACACAATACAATACAACACAATACAAAAAAGTACAATACAATACAACACAATACAATACAACACAATACAATACAATACATTACAACAGAATACAGTACAATACAATATAGTACAACTACAATACAAACACAGCACAAGACAAAACAAAACAACACAATACAAGGACCATACAATACAACTAAATGAAATATAAAATACAACAAAATACAACCGGTACAATCACACAATCAACACAATCATGCTTACAATACAATCATACAAAAACAATACATTCATATGAAACCAGGGCCATCATACAATCAACACATTCGTACAATACAATCATGCAGAACAATCATGTGTAACGAACATACAGTACAATCAGAGATGCATAGATACATACATACATACATTACGTTACGTTACGTTACACTGCATTACATTACACGACATACATGCACGCATGCATGCATACACTTACATACATACACTTACAGACAGACAGACAGACAGACATACATGACATATCAAAACAGTACGTTAAATTACGTTACATTACATTGCATTATTACATTATATTACATTACAATACATGCATACGTACATACATACATACATCGCATTCATTGCATACATTGCATACGTTACATTCAATACATACATTACTTATGTTACATACATTACATACATCAGAGACAATACATACCTTACATGCATCACATACATCACATACATTACATGCATTGCTTACAATACTTACATTAGTTACAAACATACCTGCATACAGACATACACACATACACACATGCACACATCCACACATACATACATACATACATAAATACATACATACATTCATACATTCAAACATACAAACATACAAACGTACAAACACACAAACGTGCGCACGTGCGGTCGTACGGATACATACACACATCCAAACACAGATACCTGTTTTACATTACAACAAATTACGTTACATTACATTAAATTTCATTACACTACAATACATTACACGACAATACATTACATGACAGCAACATACAGTACGTTACATTACATTGCCTTACATCACTTGCGTACTAGCTATACATACATACACACATTGCATACATTCATTGCATTACATGCGGTTCATACATTTCATACATAACATACACCACAAACATTTCATGCATTACATACAATACTTTACAATACCATACAATACAGTACGGTACCGTACGATACAATACAATCGTTCATACACACATACATAAATACGTACATACATACATGCATACATACATACACACACATACAGACATACATACTTACATACATACATACATACATTGACATACATACATACATAAATACATACATACATACATTAATACATACATACAAACATACATACATCGCATTCATTTCATAAATTGCATTCATTACATATGACACATACATTGCATACATCAGAGACAATACATACCTTACATGCATCACATTCATTACATACATTACATGCACTGCTTACAATACTTACAAACATACGTGCATACAGACATACACACATACACAAATGCACACATCCACACACACATACATACATACATACATTCATACATGCAAACATACAAACATACAAACACACAAACGTCCGTACGGGACGTACGGAGTACATACACACATCCAAACACAAATACCTACACTTGCGTACTTGCTATACATACATACCTACATTGCATACATTCATTGCATTACATGCGGTTCATACATTTCATACATAACATACACCACAAACATTACATGCGTTACATACAATACTTTACAATACCATACAATACAATACGGTACCGTACGATACAGTACAATCGCTCATACATACACACACATACACACACATACAGACAGACATACATACATACATACATCAATACATACATACATACATACATTGACATACATTGACATACATTGACATACATTGACATACATTGACATACATTGACATACATTGACATACATTGACATACCATGACATACATTGACATACATACATACATACATACATAAACACATACATACATACATACATACATACATACATACATTGACATACATTGACATACATTGACATACATTGACATAGATTGGCATACATACATACATACACACATACATACATTGACATACATACGTCCATACATACATACATACACACATACATACATGCAACCACACATACACACTTGCTCAGAAATCCGCCCACACCGCTTTGGCGGTGAAGGCGTGCTTATTGGGGGCAACAGCAACACTAAATGCTCAATGACATTTGTTAATATAGCAGTCGCTATATCAGCTTTAGCTGGGGGGGCCAAAAACGGTTTCGCACCGAGACCAGAATACGGTGGTGTTTTCGACATTTTTCGAGGATTTTTGGGTGTCTGAGCGCAAGAGGGTATTGAAATGGAATTTTGGGTCATTTTGGTAGCTTTCCGGCAATGGAAAAACGGCCAAAAATGAAAAAAACATTGTACATAGCAAGATTTTGCAGGGTTTTTGGATGCCAGAGCATTGAAAACACTGCAAAAACAAGTGTTTTGGACTGACGTTATAGCAAAAAACGTGTAAATTACCGTATGCTTGACTGGAAACATTACAAAAACACTGTCAAAAGCAATGTTTTGGAAGGATTTACTGCCTTTATGGCAAAAAACGTGTAAATTACCGTCTGTTTGACTGGAAACATTGGAAAAACACTGTCAAAAACAATGTTTTGGAAGGATTTCTTATATATATGTTGGAGTTGGCTACCGGCATTGGCACATGGAAAAATTGAAGAAAACACTGTAAATAGCGGTATTTTCAACGGTTGGGGAGATAAGGGAATTGGAAGCATTGTCGAACATGATGTTTTCGACCGGTTTTATGGCGACAAAAGTGTAAAGTACCGTGCTTTGAAGGAAACCATTGCAAAAACATGGAAACACATTCAAAGAACACGGGATTTGGGGGACTATCTAGGCGTCGTTGTCTAGCTATTTGAAATTCCGCAGCTTGGAGAGCCTCCAAGGGAGGGAAAAGTGAAAATTCCATAGCTTGGGAAGCTGTCACGGCGGGGAAAAGTGAAAATTCCCTAGCTTGGGAAGCCCCACGGGGGGGAAAAGTGAAAATTCCCTAGCTTGGGGACCCCCCACGGGGGGGAAAAGTGAAAATTCCCTAGCTTGGGGAGCCCCCATGGGGGGGGAAAGTGAAAATTCCCTAGCTTGGGGAGCCCCCACGGGGGGGGAAAGTGCAAATTCTTAGCTTGGGGAGCCCCCACCCCACGCGAAGCGGGGTGAATATCTTATCGAA